CACACAGGCGGGTCACCGGATCGGCTCTGGAACATATCGCGGCGGCGACTCCCAAAGGCAGCTGTTTGGGGGAGAAGCTGGGCCGGAGACCCCGGGCAGGTGGGGTGACGGCACCCGCTTCCCCACCGGTGACCCGGTTTTCTCCGTAACGGAGCTTCGCTGAGCGGGGAGGGAACCCACCGAGAGAGCCAAATGGAGCCGCCCTCCGCTCGAATATATATATCTCCCACTTTGTCCAAAGTGTTGCTGTATTTTATTTTTAAGAGACCAAGAAAAAGAATAAAAGGTTTCTGTGCGTACAAGACAGAGAGGCCGGCGCCGCGGCTTTCCCTGAAACCTGGAAAAGAAAAACAAGAAAGAAAGAAAGAAAGAAAGAAAGAAAGAAAGAAAGAAAGAAAGAAAGAAAGAAAGAAAGAAAGAAAGAAAAGAGACAGAAAGACAGAAATACAGGGAAGAAAGAAAGAAAGAAAGAAAGAAAGAAAGAAAGAAAGAAAGAAAGAAACCAGAAGTCAACCTAACCTAGGCTATAGACCTTTTCTTTCTTTCTTTGTTTTTTCTTTTGAAGGGGGGGGGGCAGGACGAGGGTTGAAGGTGATCCTAACCAGGTTTTGCAGCACACCAGGCTGACCTGTCAAGCGGATTATTTTAGAAGGAGATTAATAGGAGAGGCGGGTAGCAATAATAATCGTTTTGTTTGATGTGACAACTTTGATAGGCGTTGATTTACTTACAAACTGATAGGGTTTTAATTGAGCGCCTTCATCCCGCTGGAGATGAAAGGGAAGCGGGTCTGAATGGCTGCCCGGTTGCCCTGCAGACTCAGGACTGATTAGCCATCTCGACAATGAATAGTTCAAGGCATTTACAAACTTTTTTTTCTACCTCCCCCTCCTCCTGACCCCCCCTCCTTCTTCCCCTTCGCTCTCCCCTCCTCAAATAACTGCCAGCCCTCCCCCCCCTCCTTCGGTGAAAATAAATCATTTCCATTGTGTGCAAATAAAATCGACTTGACATCTTTGCCGATAGCTGCTAGGTAAACGAAAGTGTGGGCTGCCGCTTGCTAATTAATCCCTTCGTTTTTCAGCTCTGCCCCCCCCCCCCTCACACACACACACACACACCACACACACCTCCCCGGCCCGGCACATAATGGCAGCCCCTTCGCTTTGATGGAGGGTGCCTAAGTTAAAGGGCTGAGGGTCTCCCCTCTCGCCCGCCCCCCCGGATTTGAATCTGCTGGAGAGGGCGAACGAGAGGACTCGTCACTAAAAAGAAAGCGAAACCAATTTCGAAGCGGATTGCGCCCTCTTCTCAACGCGGGGATTCTTTGGACAGCCCAGTAACACGAGCGGCTGCACCACAAACTCAGCTGGCGACCTCCCTCCCAGCCCGGGGAGCGGGGATCTCGGCTGCTGTTTCGCAGATAAACCGGCCCTGGATTCCTTTCGCCCCGGAACCCCGGTCAACTCAGCCGCGAGGGCTGACCGTCACGTGGGAATCCTAACGTCGGATGAAAAGTAGCGTGTCCTCCGTGCAACTGGCGCGGCCGGGAGGTCTTCCGAAAGGGAAGGGGCGCTCCCAGGGAATGAGCGCCGTTTAGTTTATATTTTGATAGGGCGGGATCTCGGGCTGACCTTTCACACCAGCCGATCCCTCGATCGATCCCTCGATCGCTCTGGAAAGCCGGAAAAGCGCCCGGCATCGGGGCCCAAAGGAAAGTTACTGAAAGCTACAACTAATGTCTGCGTATCCCCCCCCACACACACACACACTTTCCACTCTCTCACACAAACACACCACACAAGCATTCCACCCACTCTCGCTTTCCTATGCCCCCCCCACCGCCCTCACTTTTGCACGTCAATACGCTGCTTGTTTTACACATGTCCCGGAGTTCACCTTTGATTCCCCCGTTTTGAGCACTGCAACGAGGCCTCTGCTCGACCCCCCCCCCCGCCCGCCCGCCCCGTCTTTCTTCCTTTCTCGGCCTCGCTCGCTCCGCGGGGGGCCCAAAAGAGCCTTTCCCACCTCTGCCCCCACCCGAAGGCCGTTCCTCTTTTTTACTCTTTCGCCCTGGGGGGGGGGGCAAACCCCGCCGGGAAAAGTCGCTCCGCTCCGGTTAGGAAAACAGCTGGCCCGGACACTTCCATGCAAATGAAGGCGAAATGAAGAAGGGCTCGGCCTTCTTTCTTTCTTTCTTTCTTTCTTTCTTTCTTTCTTTCTTTCTTTCTTTCTATTTCTATTTCTTCTTTCTCTCTCTCTCTCTTTCTCTTTCTATTTCTTTCTCTTCTTTCTCTCTTTCTATTTCTTTTTCTTCTTTCTTTCTCTCTCTTTCTATTTCTTTCTCTTCTTTCTCTCTCTCTCTTTCTCTTTCTATTTTTTTCTTCTTTCTCTCTATTTCTTTCTCTTCTTTCTCTTTCTCTTTCTATTTCTTTCTCTTTTTCTTCTTTCGCTCTCCTTTCTCTATATTGCTTTCTCTCTTCTTTCTCTCTCTCTCTCTTTTCTTTTTTTCTTTCTCTCTTTCTTCCTCTCCTTTCTTTTTCTCTTCTCTCTCTCTCTTTCTCTCCTCTACTATCCATCCCCCCCCCCTCTCTCAGCAAATTTATCTATCAGGACTGACAGCTCAAAACAAGAACAGCAGCAGCAAAGAAGAGGCCAAGACGACCGGCCTTGGCCAGGAGGATCCCCCGCTTCAGGAAGGAGGCTGAGCGGGATAGCCGCGCCGGCTTCTTGGAGAGCGACCTCGGCTAGGAAATCCGGCGTCTCTCCAGCCTCCGGGTCTGGGTGCCTTGAAGGGAAAGGCCGGGGAGGAACTGCGGGAGCCTGCGGAGACTCGGCCCCAGCACGCGCGTCTTTCTTCCCCAAAGCTTCCGCCGTTCCCGCTGCAAGGCAGGAGGCGGGCGAAGGGCGCTCCTGGGCCTTTGACAGAAGGGGCGGCCGGCCGGGCGCGGGGGCCGGCCGGGCGCGGGGCTGCCCAGGTGGCCCCAGCTCCAAGCGGAGCGGCCCGGAGCTTGGGAAGCAGGGCCCCGGGGGAAGGGGGCTTGGACTGACGGGGACTCTCCTCTGGGGCCTTCGGGGCTCCCCAGGAAAGCGCCCCCTGCCCCGAAAGCTTTTCCTGCCGCGGCTGTTGCGGAAGGGCGGCCTCCGCTCAATACCCGGCAGCGGGTCAGGGACAAGTGCGACTCTTGGCCAGCCTTAACCTTAGTTGGGCCGTTTTATTAGGATTACTTTTTGCCGGCAGAAGGGGGGAGCTGCCGGGCGGGTTGAGGCCGGGGGGCTCAAGCGGGTCCCCAGAAAACGGCTGAGCGTGAGGGGGGGTCGCCCAGAGCGAAGGGATGGGAAGGTAGAGCAGACACGCAACTCCCTCCCTTCCGACGCGTTCTTGCTTCCAAGCGTTCAGGCGATCGGGGTCAGAGTCGTCGAAAGTTGCGGAGAATTTGCAGCCTGATCCGGGCTTTCCCCCACCCCGAGCGGCCAGTCTGGGGGTTCGCCCTGGGACTCCCTTCGAGGTCCTGCTCGCCTCGGGCCCGCCTCGCGGGGGTGCGGAACTCGAGGAAGAGGTCCCGGCCGGGGCAGGAAAGCGAGAAGGGGGGGCGGGGGAGACCGGGCCAAAGACGCGGGAAGGGAAGCAAAGGCCCAGGCCGCTCCCGGGCGGGTGATCGAAGCGGCACCCAGCCGTCCCTGCGCCAGCCCCGGCGGGCGAAGGCCTCTCGGAGGAAGGGCCCCGGGAGAGCGAGAGGGCGCCCGCCTTGGCCCCGAATCCCTCTCCCCCTCGGCCTCCTGGGGGGAAACCTCGGCGCCGCCGCCCCCACGAAGCCCCCCGGCCCGGCGGAGCTCCTGACGCGGCCTGGACAGCGCCGTCGTGGGCCCCCTGGCCACGAGGAAAGCTCCCCAGAGACCGAGGAAGGGCAGGCGGGCAGCGGGGTCGCCCGGACCCGGAGCGGCCCTCGCGAAAAGCAAGGAAGAGCAGCCCCGACGGCTGCAGCGGGGGGGGGGGGCTCCTCGGCCTGAGAGCAGGAAGCCCACGGGAGACTGACGGGGGTCTGTGGAGGGTCCTCCCCCAGCCCCACGGACGAGGCGCCCGAGGAGATCCGGAGCGTGACCGTCCCGGGGGAAGAAAGAAGGCCCGGCCACGCAGCGCTCTCCCCCGGCGCCGCGGCTTCTTTTCGTGGGGCAAACAAATGGCATTTAGTCCGGAGCGATTTACTCTTTTCAACGGACTGGCTTTTTCTTTTTCTTTCTTTCTGTCTGTCTTTCTTTCTTTCAATTTAAATGCGTCCTTCCGTCTCTTCTCTCTCTCTCTCTCTCTCCCCCTCTCCCTCTGTCTCCCTCTCTCTCCTTTCCTTCCTTCAAAGTCGCACCAGGCTTGTAATCAGCAACACAACCTGACATAAATCAAGGCCGGATTGACAGGGGCTGACAAATAACTGATGGATTGCGGTTGGGGAGCATTGACAGCGGATGAAGGAGAGGAACGCGGGGAGAGCGCGCCTCCCCCGCCCGGGGGGGGGGAAGAGGAGAAGCGGAGGGGGCGGGGCCTCCCAACCAAGCCACCGCCCCCTGGCCTCGCCCAATCCCGGCGTGGGGCCTCCCCCCGCCCCCCCTCTCCAGTTCCGCTCGGAGGGCGCCGGGTTGGCGCTGGGCGGAGGCCGGGGACTTTCCCTGCTGGCGTTTCGGGCAAGGAGGGGAGCCGAGCCGGCGGGCCGCGGCAGCTTCGCCTCCCCCCCCTATAAACGGAGCCCGCGGGCCCCGCACGGGGGAGCCCGGCAGCGGCGTCGGGGCCCCTCAAGAGGCCGGGAAGCGGCGCCCCGGCCCGACCTCGTCCCAGCCCGGCCGGGCAGCGCCTCTGCGGCCCCCGCTCCAGCCCCGGCTCCGGGGACGTGGCCAGCCCGGAAGGGGCTCCGGGCGCGGCTGGCCCGGCCGAGCGGAGCCCGAGGGAGGCGGGCGGGACGGAGCGGGGGGGGAAGCGGGGGGGGGCGGGCGGGGAAAAGCCCTTGGAGCGGGAGCGTGACGTCACATCCCCTTGACCCTCCAATCACCTCGGCCTCCCATTTGATTGGAAGGCGGCAAAGGCTTTAATCTCCCGACTAATTCAGCTGCTCGGGAAGCGCCCGGGCTCCGCCAGAGAAGGCGAGGCTGAGGCTGGGGCCGGGGCTGCGGCTGGGCGAGGAGCAGCAGGAGGCGAGAGGCCGAGGAGAGCCCGCCGGGCCAGGGAAGGCAGCCCGCCAGGCAGGCAGGCAGGAGGGAGACGGGGCGGCGGCGAGAAAGGCTCGGGGTCTTCTCCCACCCCTCCCCGGGACACAAAAGCCCCCCCCCCAAAAAAAAACCAGGACAAGCGCCGTACAAAACCACGGATTTATTTCTGCTGGGTCGCCGCCGGTGGACGCCTCGGAGTTGCCCTTGCCCGAATTTGGGAAAGCCAAAGAAAAGGAAAAGCCAAGACTTTGGGGGAGGGGGACAAAAAGGCTTTGGAGGGAGCGTCTCCTGCCGCTGCTGCTTCCCCCGAGGTTGCAAAGGGGCGTCTCCGCGGGGGGATCGCCCGCCCTCCCTCCCTCCCGCCTTTCCCCCTCCCCCCGTGCCCGAAGTCGCGCGTGGCAGCCGCAGAAGCCCCGCTTCGGTTCCTGAGCAGCGGCGGCGGCGGCGGCAGCGGCGCCGTGCCCCCCCGCGAGTTTTCATGCCAGGCTTTGGGTCATGATTACAGCCCCCGCGCTTTCTGCCGTAAGAAGTAGTCCGCGCGGAGGAGGAGGAGGCGGAGGCGGAGGAGGCGCGGCAGAGCTCGGCGGCGGCGGCGGCGCGGAGCTTCCGTGGCGGAGCGGAGTCGCCGGGATCCTTCCTGGCGGCGGCATCGGCGGCAAAGCTTTCTTCCACGCCATCCCCCCGTCGGACCCCCTGCGCCAGGCCAACCGCCTGCCCATCAGAGTCCTGAAAATGCTCACCGCCCGGACCGGACACATTTTGCACCCGGAGTATCTCCAGCCGCTGCCTTCCACGCCGGTCAGCCCCATCGAGGTAAGCGGGGGGGGGGGGGTGCAGGGCGAGGGAGGGACCCGTTGTAGGGTGCCGGCTTCGTTTCAGCCACTCTGTCCCCAGCCCCCTTCCAGCCCCAGCCCCCTCCCGCCCCGGCCCAGCCTTTGCACAACTGCCGGGCAGCGCGATTTGGGGGCTGGCTGGCTGAGCACGGGAAGGTCTTGGGGGGGGGGACGCCGCCGTCGCCAGGAGGGTCTCCCACCGCCCCCTTAAAGCTCGGGGGAACAGGAGGGAGAGGCGGCCGGCCCCGCTTTTCCATTTTGCAAGCCTCCGCGCCCGCAATCTCCCCCCCGCTCCCCCAGAAGGGCTGCTCCGGCGGAATTTGCACCTGGAATCGGTCAGGCTCGGTCCTTGCCCCCCCCTTCCTTCACCCCCCGCCGCTTGTTGATTCTGGCAGTAGATCTGCCCTCCGAGGGCGCTGATCTGAAACTGAGCAGCCCCGGCCGCCTCCAAGGGCGGCTTTGGGAAAGGAAGCGCCCCGGCCTCTCTCGGGGGGAGGGTGTGTGTGTGCGTTCGCGTATGTGTTTGTGTATGTGTTTGTGAGTGTAAGCGAAACCTCCTCGGGCACGACGAGGGTCCCGGGGGCGGGGGGGGACAGGGCCAGCTAAACAGCGGGTCCTGGGGCGGCGGCGGGCGCGGGAGGGCCTCGGGGGGCCAGGAGTCCCAACGGGGAGGATCCAGCCGGGTGCCCGCTTCCCTTGCGGGGCGGCCAGGGGACGCGTCTTTCCGAGGCAGAGCAGCGGTCGGGGCCGGGGCGGGGGGGGCTGTTTGGAGGGCAGCTCCGCTCGGGGCGCCTCCCTGCCCGCACTCAGGGCTCCCTCTCTTCTCTCCCCCTCCCCCCCTCGGCCGTCTGCAGCTGGACGCCAAGAAGAGCCCGCTGGCCCTCCTGGCGCAGACCTGCTCCCAGATCGGCAAGCCGGACCCCTCGCCCTCCTCCAAGCTCTCCAGCGTCACCTCCGGCGGCGGCCAAGGCGGCGACAAGGAGGCGGCCAAGGCGGCGCCCTTGAAGCTCAGCGACATCGGCGCCGAGGACAAGTCCAGCTTCAAGCCCTACGCCAAGCCCGGCGCGGACAAGAAGGACGCCTCGGCCGGCGGAGGGCCCGCCGCCGCCTCCTCCTCCTCCTCCTCCGGGGGCAGCGCGGGCGGCGGCGGCGAGAAGTCGGGCTTCCGAGTGCCGAGCGCCACCTGCCCGCCGTTCACGCCCAGGACAGGCAGCCCCAGCTCCGGCGCCTCGGCCTGCTCGCCCGGCCTGCTGCCCGGCGGAGAGAGCAAGGGCGGCGGCGAGGCGGAGAAGAAGGAGGCGGCGGACGGCGGCGGCGGCGGCAAGGGCGCTTCCGACGGCTCCGCCCGCCTGGCCGCCGTCGGCGGGGTCGGGGCCCTCTCGGCGGCCGAGCTGAGCCAGGCCCACGAGGGCGCCAAGGGGCTGCTGGCCGCCCCCTGCTCGACGGCCGAGGCCTCCTGCAGCGCCGTCCCGTCCTCGGTGGCCGCCGCCGTCTCGATGCTGGGCTCGGCCGGCCTGGTGGCGCCCGTCTCCCCCTACAAGCCGGGCCAGACCGTCTTCCCGCTCCCGCCGGCCGGCATGAGCTACCCGGGCTCGCTGGCCGGCGCCTACGCGGGCTACCCGCCGCAGTTCCTGCAGCCGGGCGTGGCGCTCGACCCCGGCAAGGCCGGCGGCGCGGGGGGCGGCGGGGGCGGCAAGGCGGCGGGCTCCAGCCCCCTGGCCGGCGCCTCGCCCCCGTCGGTCATGACGGCCAGCCTGTGCCGCGACCCCTACTGCCTGAGCTACCACTGCGCCGCCAGCCACCTGGCCGCCGGCGCCTCCTGCGCCCACGAGCAGGCGCTGAAGGCGGGCGGCTACCCGCTGGTCTACTCGGCGCCGCCGCTGCCCGCCGGGCCGCCCTCGCTGGCCGGCCACCCGCTCTACCCCTACGGCTTCCTGCTGCCCAACGACCCCCAGCCGCACAGCTGCAACTGGGTCTCGGCCAACGGGCCCTGCGACAAGCGCTTCGCCACCTCGGAGGAGCTGCTCAGCCACCTGCGGACTCACACGGCCTTCCCCGGCCCGGCCGAGAAACTGCTCGCCGGCTACCCCAGCTCCAGCTCGCTGGCCGCCGCCGCCGCCGCCGCCGCCATGGCCTGCCACATGCACGTGCCCACCTCGGCGGCCGGAGGGCCGGGCAGCCCCGGCGCGCTGGCCTTGCGCAGCCCGCACCACGCCTTGGGACTCAGCAGCCGCTACCACCCCTACTCCAAGAGCCCCCTGCCCACCCCCGGAGCCCCCGTCCCGGTCCCGGCCGCCACTGGACCCTATTACTCCCCTTACGCACTCTATGGGCAAAGACTGACGACAGCCTCGGCGCTGGGATACCAGTGAGTTGTTTTTTCCGCCCCGCGGGGGGAGAGAGACGCCTGAGGTTGGGGTTGCTTTTTTTTCTTGGGGGGGGCGGGGGGCGGCAGGGGCGATTTGAAACCAGGCTTTCGAGGGCGGGAAGAGAGAGAGAGAGAGAAGGAAAGACGGCCCAGCGTCCCTTGGAAAAGTTTCTTAAGAATCCATTGACCAGACAAATGGTAAAATCGGACGGTTTTTTTAAAATAAATATATATATAAAGATAGTGTTCATCTTGAGGACTGGATCCATGGGCACTGTATTTATTTATGTTAGCTTCAAGCGGGACGATGAATCCGTAAAAAAAAAAGGAAAGGAAAAAAGTGCATTATCTAATTTCAGCTTTGATAGGCTTCGAGGAGAGCAAAACAAAACAAAGTGGAAACACCCGTTGTAGAATATAAATCAATAAAAAGAAAACGAGAAATAGAGGTCTCCTCCTGAATGTTACTTTAAAATTGCTCCATGATTGTACTGTACTGTACGTTCTTGTTTAAGGGCGGGCGGGCGCGTCAAACCCCTCCATGCATGTGTGTCTTTTCCCAAGAACAGCGCGGCTTCCCTGGCAATTGGTCTATTCCGGTTTCAAATTGCAGCGACTTTTCCAAGAAGTATCCCGTGGCAAGAGAGATAATTGGCCTTGTATCCCGACAGAAAGGAAACCCAACCGCCACTCTTCTCCCCCCCCCCCAAAAAAAACCCCACCTCCGTTTGCCTTTTTTTTACTCTTTAAAAGGAACCCTTGGCTACGTTTTCATCTTTAAAGTCCACCCGGTAGCTAGGGTAGGAACAAGGGTGACGTCATGTATTTAAAATAATAGCCAATGTATCGCTTTAAAAGATTAAAATCCTGTATATTTGACGTATTTAAAAAAAAGAGGTTTACTTTTCTTTTGAAATAACCTTTTGGGAGTCTCTTACCAACGCACTTAATTCCCGGGCGGATGAAAGTAAAGAAAGAGAAACAAGACAGTGAAGGTTGATTATACTCCGGTTTAATTAGTTAGTACCCGACACTTTCCTTTTCTCGCAGCCGCGGCGTTATTAAGCAGAACTGGCCATTTAAACGAAAAACGAGAGCGAAGTCAGCTTCTGTTTCAGGGGCGAAAAGGCGTTTGGCGTGCCGGGATTTGCCCACCGGAGGCGCAGAAAACAACAGGCCGAGCTTGTCTATTTGCAAGCAAGGAAAATCGAGGCGTCCCCTCCGTGTTTATTTATTTATTCATTTATTTTTACGCGCGACGAACGAACAACTCCTGCTTCCATTTAGGGAAAACCTGGGTCACGATCCAGGCCGATTCCGGAAGGAATCGGGCTGGTGGGAAGAGATCTTTCTTCATCGCTCGTTCTTGGCTAGGACCGACCGTGGCGCGGATGGTCTGGGGGTTTTCGTCCCCAAGGGTCGGCAGACGAAGAGAGGGACGAGCGGCGTGGAGCAGTTTTTCCCCTTTTTTTTTTCTTTAACACGAGCGAGAAAGTTCCTCGGATTCCTAGGGGGGTGGGGTGGGGGGGGGATGTTTCTGAAACCCAGGTTGGTTTGGCCTGGTGGCTGCACGCCAAGTGGCGGCGAAACGGATGCGTAAAAAAAGATTTATTTCAGGCAGCCGGAAAAAGGGAGATTCAGTGGCGACGTTCGCACGTGCGAAGTTGGGTCAGGGTTAACCCTGGGTCGAGGCTTTCGGAGTCTTTGGCTTATTTGCGGTGGGAAACAAAAGCCCGTTTGGTTCAGGCGGCGGTTCGCGGCCTTGTGTGGCCAAAAGTATTTGAGTGGCCTTGTGTAGTGGTGTAGCGGCGGTGTAGAGGAACGGATAGGCGGTAGTTGGGAGCTGATTAAAGCTCTAATTCCCGGCCACTGATGCGAAGGTAATTGCGTCGAAAAGGGGGGGGTGTCGTAGTTCTGGGTGGGGGGAATTGAAAGAGGCCCCATCTCATAAAATGAGAAGGGGGAGGAAGAGGCTGACTCGCTTATCTGCCCGTGGAGGCTCTGCGGCCCGATCTTGTCTTTACTTCCGAGTAGATCGCTTCCCCCTACTACAAGGTGAAGACCAAGAACTGCCCAAGGGAGGCGTGAGCGAACTTCGGAACGTGTTTCCGGTTCCCCGCTTCCCTTTCCCTTTTATTTCCATGTGTTACTTTCCCTCTTTGGGGTGGAAAGCGGCAAGAAAAACGCCTGGGCTGGTTTTTACCTTCAACCTGGAGAGATTTACCCTTTAAACACGCCGCGTTATTACGCAGGGCTGGATGTAGATGGAAAGAGTCGTTGAAAAGCAGATCCGAGGAAAGAGGAATTGCAGGGACGGTGGAGCAGAAAAGCAAAATATATCCTTTTTTAAAAAAAAAAAAGCTGCTAAAATTTTGACGCAAAAGGCACTCCAAGATGTGCATATCCATTGTCTTGCAAAAGGGAACCAAAGGGATACAAGCAAGAGAAACGTCTGGGCGCAGCAGGATTTCAGTGTCGTTTAGTTCTTACCAATCGGTTGGTAACGTTAGTCGGTAGCCTCAGCGCTGTGAAGCTGTAAAACTTCACAAAGTCAAACAAATCAACCAAGGCAGGCTGACTCCAAGGAAGGAAAGAAGGACAATGAAATAGGAAGGAAGGAAGGAAGGAAGGAAGATAGGAAGGAAGGAAGGAAAGAGTGAAATAGGAAGGAAGGAAGAAGACAGTGAGCTAGGAAGGAAGGGAGGGAGGGAGGGAGGGAGGGAGGAAGGAAGGAAGGAAGGAAGGAAGGAAGGAGAGAGAGAGAGAGAGAGAACGGGCGCTGTACATTCTAACATTTATTTTTACAAGGTTTATTTTGCTCCGCCGTTTCTTGTCATATAGTCAGCAGGGTGGAAGGTGGATGGGTGTGTGTGTGGGGGGGGGGCAGTTCAGGCTTTGCAACAGTTTCGTGTCTTTCCCCGCTGGGACTTCGGGTGGCTGGAACTGTCCCGGGCGATTGGCTGCAGCGAACTGAGGGGCGAAACTCCTTCGTGGCGGCTGCGGTGGGTGGTGGTGGCGATCGCCGCCCTGGCCTTGATGGCTCCTTTTCGCTCTTTTTTTTTTGTCCTAGAAGGCCAGAAAAAAAGGGGGGGGGCTTTCGCTGTTTGTCACACCAAAAATAACTCCGGACTCAAAGGGCCTTTTGGGGGAGGGGGTGGGGTGGGGGCTGTGTTAGCGGAGAGGGGGGGGGTTGTGAGCGCCTAAGTCGTGGCCTGGACTGGATTTCTGCAAAATTCGAGCTGCTCCTTCCGGCTCCCTGCCTGAGGACACGTGTTGGCGTGTTCGGCTTTATTTAAATTAAAAACTAACCTAACGTTCATTGGTACGGGTGCCGAGCGCCCGGGAGAAAGGGGGAGAAATCCCCCATCGGGGGACACGTGTAGAGAAAACGTCGGAGAGCAAAAAAAAAAAAAAAAAAAACCAACCTTGTTTTTTTTAAAATAAAAAATAAAAGAACAGGCTCTTCTCTTATAAGAGGGTTTTTTTTACTGAGTCAGCCAGGGGCTTTCCAAAAGAAAAAAAGGAAAACCCGATCCGGTGAAAAGATTTTCCCGGGCAGGAAAATAGCCAAGGGGTCGTTGTTGGGCCCCTCCCTGACTCGTGCAGCGACCACACGGTCTTAAGAGTGGGGCAACGGAGACAAGCTAATGTAACCCCCCCCCTTCCCTTCCCCCAGGGTTTAACCTGGGCGGGGGAGAGGGGCAGGCGTGGGCCAACTCGCCCCTGGGGTGCTGGGGGCGAATCCCCCTCCTCTTCCTTCTCCGAGCTTTGCCCCCCCCCCATCTAAAGGCCAGGGCTTCAAGAGGCGGCGGTGCTTGATGAGGACCAGGGATGCGTGGCACAAGTCGCTGCGGGGCCCGCAGGCCACCGCTAGCCTCTCCCGCAGCTTCTGCCCAACCGGGAAAACGGCTCCGGGGTCGAGCCGGGCAGAGGGAGGGGAGGGGAGGGGGGTCGGCAACTGACTTTCCGTCCCCTGCAGGTAGAGCGACCTGGATCTCGCCTGCGCCCCTCTCTGCGGCCGGAGACGGGCAGCGGCCTCCGCGGAACCCCGGGACGGCATCCACACGACGCAGTTCAACTGCTGGGGGAGCGAAGTCCGGTCCAGGCGTCCGAGGCTGGGAGCTCAAAGCCTCTTGGCTGCGTCGGATCCGCGCTCTTCAGGATCTGCTCTACGCCCTCTCTCTTATTCGGGGGCGCAGCGGTCGGAGGAAGCGCCCGGGGTTAAGGTCTTCCCACGGCCGGGACGCCCGGCTTTCCCTCCCTCGGCGAAGCGGCTGGAAGAGGCCCGGCAGCCGGGCGAGGCCTTGCTTAGCTTGGCACCGGCCCTGCGCGCTTTCGGGGTCGCCCGGGGTCCTCCCGACACTGGAGGAGTGAGCGGGAGAAAGAGAGAGAAAGCCTGCAAGGGAGGCGGTCGCTACTCGGTGACCTGAGCAGGAAGAAACGGCCGTGGTCGTAAGACTGCGACTGGTAGTAACAAGAGCGGAGCGCGGCTCCGGCTGGACTCTCCCAAGAATGGCGAGCTGGAAGGCAGCGCAGGACAGAGCAAGGCAGCAACCGGGGCCGTGGAGCTGGGAAAGAATTTGGAGAAGGGCTTCCCCTGCGGAGGAGACGACGGAGGAATCGGAGGCCTTGCGGTGCCGGCCTAGAAGAAGCCCACCTGCGCGGAAGGAAGGAAGGAAGGAAGGAAGGAAGGAAGGAAGGAAGGAAGGCCTCCTCGAACGGTTAGGAAACGCGGCAAGGCAAAGGCCGAGGATTGGCTGAATTCCCGCTACTCGCCAAGACGGGAAGGTGCTGGGTGAAGTGCGCGTGGGGGGGGGGGGGTTGTGCCCAGGCGCCTTGGACGAAGCCAGCCTCGGGGCGGGGGGGCTTATGGTCGCTATGGAGCTTGTGGGTCGGGCAGCGCTTTTTTTCCGGTTGGGAGGTTTGTTTGGGGGCAGTATTTCCAGCTAGACACCCCAAGTTGAAGGCGGAAAGCACGTCAGAAATGCTGTAGGGTCTCCTGCTTAGGGGGGGGTTGGACTAGATGATCTACAAGGTCCCTTCCAACTCTGCTATTCTATTCTATATTCTATTCTATTTCATTCCATTCTATATTCTATTCTATAATTCTATATTCCATTCTATATTCTATTCTATTCTATTCTATTCTATATTCTATTTCATTCCATTCTATATTCTATATTCTATTCTATAATTCTATATTCCATTCTATATTCTATTCTATTCTATTCTATTCTATATTCTATTTTATTTCATTCCATTCTATATTCTATATTCTATTCTATAATTGTATATTCTATATTCTATTCTATTTTATATTCTATTCTATATTCCATTCCATTCTATTCTATTCCATTCTATTCCAGGAAAACTGATGCAGGCTTTACAGATTTGTGAGGCCTATGAGATGTCATGGCAAGTAGCCATAGCTGTGGAGCAAATGCTTGTGGTTCAGGCGTCGGGCTGTAAGCAGGGACATTGCAAAGTAGTCCTGCCTTGGGCCCAAAGTCTGCTGGGTGACCTTGGGCCAGCCACCGTCTCTCAGCCCGAGGAAGGAGGCAATGGCAAAGCACTTTTGAAAAAAACCTTCGCCAAGAAAACTGCAGGGATTCTGGAGAATTGGACACGATTAAAAACAACAGTAATAGTTTAGCTGGTTAGCAAATACTCGAATGTGGGCGAAACGCTTCTTCCCCCCCCCCCGCCCCCCAGCATCGCCTTAATACCAAACAGCAAAGGGCCAAATCCGCCCCGTTTCGGAGCGTCCGAGACTTCGCGGCGTTTGTTAACGTGTTGCACTCCGGAATAGCCCTTCCTCGCCAGACCCGGATTTCCCTTTTGGGGATCCCTGGGAGCCACTGGACGGGGCGCGAGAGCAGAGTGGCTTCCCCGACGATCCTTAGGGAATCAAGTGAAGTGTTGGGGGCTCCAGGAGGAAGAATTTGTTCCCCGTGCAAGTGGCGGCTTCATGGGGGAAGAAAGCGCTCCGTTCTGAAGGTTTTGGGGGACGCCCAGAAATCAGCCCGAGCGCCGCGGGGGGAGAAGAGCGAGCGCGGGGTGCTCCACCCGCCTGCAAAGCCTGGAACCCGACAGCTGGGATCCGTTTCAGCCCGGAAGCGCGCGCGTTTAAATCTGGCGTGCCTGCTGGACTCCTCGCCTTCGTTCAGACGACCGGAGAACGCGGTGGGCCGCTTTGCCCGGCGCGCCGAGGACGGGAAGCGTGAGAATCGTGACTCGGGAGACGCCTGCCACGACCTGGACTATCGCCCTCGGCTCGTGGGCGTGGGAGGGAGACGAGACGCGTGGGATTTTTTCAAAGATGGCTGGAAAGAGGGAGCCCTTGTGAACTCTCGGAAGCCCGCCCCCCGGGCAATGAATCCTTTTCCTCCCTTCCTTCCTTCCTTCCTTTGCCTGCCTTTTCTTTTTCTTCTTTACTGTCCCTTTACTCATTCTTGTTTGCCTTTACCCTTCCTTCCTCCCTCCCTTCCTCTCGTTCCTTCCTCCCTTCCTCCCTCCCTCCCTCCTTTCATTCCTTCCCCTCGTCTCCCTCCCCCTCCTTTCCTTCCTTCCTTCCTTCCTCCCTTCCTTCCTCTCCCTCCTTTTCTTCCTTCCCCCTTCCTCCTTCCCCCTTCCTTCCTCCCTCCCTCCCTCCCTTTCTTCCTTCCTCTCCTTCTTTCCTTCCTTCCTCCCTCCCTCCCTCCCCCTTCCTTCCTATCTTCCTCCCTCCTTTCATCCCTTCCCCTCCTTTCCTTCCTTCCTCCCTTCCTCTCCCTCCCTTTCTTCCTTCCTCTCCTTCTCTTTCCTTCCTCCCTCCCTCCCTCCCTCTCATCCTCAAATTCCTGCGCCTGTCCCAGCGACTCCAGCATCACCCGAGGTCCCTTGCCCGCTTCTCTGCCCTTCCGCTTGCTATGCAGAATCAACCGGAGGCGTCAGAAGAAAACCGTTTTGTCAAACCACAACTTCTCTTGGTTACTACTAGTTAGTAGTAGTAGTAGTACTACTACTACTACCAGTCAGCCCAGGAATAAATTCTTCTGCCCATCCCCACCACGTTCTGTTGCTTTGCTTTGTCGTCGCCTGGTGATGACCTAAACTTGGAGAGAGACTGATTGCACGTGGGGAAAGTCAGAAGGATGCTCGCCGGCGTCCCTCCCTCCGCCCCGCCTCCGCCCCTTTGTTTCGCTGAACAGCCCCCTCCCCGTTCCAAGCAAAGATGCTCCACCAGGAGGCGCTCTTCCATTTTCCTACGGAGAGGCTCCGTCATCCGGGTCTTGCTTTCCCAAAGGTGCTTTCCCAAGAGGCAGGCGGACTCACCTGGTTTTCTTCCAAGGACAAGAAAGTCTAACTTGCCTCTTGGAAAAAGCACCTTTAGGATATTCCGTTTTTCCGGAAACGGCTGAAAGGTTTGATCCGCCACGTGAGCGGGAAGGCGGGACTGTTAAAGTGTTTCTTGGTCGTGTGTGTGTGTGTGTACATGGGTGCACGTGGGAGTGCACACGCGTGCACGGAAGGGGAGCTGGGGTAGGTCCAGGAAACGGTTCGATGGGAAGGGAAGGAGAGGCCGGTGGGACAAACGGGTGGAAAGAAGGTCAAGCAAGGTTCCCCTCTTGTGACTCTCCCCAAACGGCTGTTGCACTGCCACGGGGGGGGGGGCGGGGTTCGGGGGAGGTGCTGGGGGAAGCACTGCAAATGAGAAGCCCATCCAAACCTCTCCATGCAGACAGCATCAGCGATATTTGGGGGTGGTGTTTTTTTCTTTCTGCGACTTTGAGGTTGGGGGAAAACCCCTCCACCCACCTTTCCCAAATCAGTTGCAAATATTTGGGTGAAGCGCAACATTTTGGCATCTTAACACCCCCTCGGCTGCTCTCCCCTCTTTGGAGGGTCCCTCCCTCAGGCAGAACGTGGCCCTTTTATGACTTGTGGACTTCAACTGGACCACCACTGATCTGAAATGTATAGGTTTTCCTGTTTGAGCAGGGGGCTGGACTAGAAGACCTCCAAGGTCCCTTCCAGCTCTATTCTGTTCTAGGAAGGAAGGAAGGAAGCGGTGATCAGTGTAAAACTGCCCAGAGTCCCCTTGCTGCTTACATCCCCATCAGAAGACGTGGCGACAGTGATGTTCCCTTCTCATCAACTGATACTGGACTTTCTGGGCTCAAAGTCCAGTATCTTATTTCAGCCCAGGTGGTTTGCTGATGTTCCCAGTTCCTGGAATAGGGATCTTGTGTGCATGGTTCTCCCTGGATCCAAAATGTGTGATCTTGTTTTCCTACTCTCTCTTCCCCAGGTATATTCATGTGGCTGGTTCTTGATCCACTGTGGGCAGATTCCGGCGTATCGCTCGCAGGAAGACGGATATACATGTCAGTTGTGGGATCCTTGATGCTCTCTGAGCTTGTTGTCTTGCAGACCTTTCATGACCCAACTAGATAACCTCATCAGTGCTAGAAGGGAGTGGGATTTGCTCTCTGTTTGCATACAAGTGATTTGCCCCGTCCATGTTGCTGGAAGTGTCCTGAGTGGAATGTTAGTTGCTGTTTGATTGTGATTCTGAGTTGGTAGTTCTGAACCAACACTAACAGGGCAAACATGTAAACATAGAACAGGCTCCACTCCCTTCCAGCACTGATGATGTTACCTAGCCGGGTCATGAAAGGTCTGCCAGAAAACAACTCAGCTCAGAAAGCACCAAGGACCCCACAGTTCAACCCTGAGTTACAAATATTCTCTTCTGGTAGGAGATGACTAGGCTGAGCACAAGGGAAGGGTCAAACGCGTCATCAGTCCCTGTGCCCCACGCCAGAGATTTAAGTCCGGCCCACCTTGAGTGCCTTTCTTAACTCCCACTAATTTCCCTTAGCTGTTAGTAGCTCAGATTCTTGTAGAGAGCTTAAGCTTGCGATGAATCTTTTATACTCAATTGAACTGCCCGAATCTCCTGATTTCCCTGGTGGTTGACACTACTAATTGTTCCACGTGTCAGTGACCAAAGGTCAGCTAATCAGCATTCTCTCTCCCATCCAGGAGAACAGTGCCTTTTGTTAACCAATCAGGGCCAGCCTTGATATCACAATTGGGGCAAAATTGAATAGTCCAGAATGACAGACAAGTGAGGTGCTCCTATTTTGGTTTAGAAAGAGTTATCTTTCCCCAGGCTGTGGGGTGGCAATGGGTGTCCACAAACATTCATCCTTTCAAACCATCAGTAGCAAAGGGCTGAAAAAAAGCAGGAGAATTTTTTTTTAATGTGCATCATGAGCAGGATAGGAGCGGTGGTGGCGCAGTGGATAGAAGGCAGCATTGCAGGCTAATTCTGCCCACTGCTGGCAGTTCAACCCTGACCGGCTCAAGGTTGACTCAGCCTTCCATCCTTCCAAGGTGGATAAAATGAGGACTCAGATTGTTGGGGGCAAATAGACTGACTCTGTAAACTGCTTAAAGAAGATTGTAAAGCAGTATGAAGCGGTATACAAGTCTAATTGCTATTGCTATATAAGTCTAAGTGCTATTGCTATTGACTCAGCCTTCCGTCCTTCCGAGGTCAATAAAATGAGGACCCAGATTGTCGGGGGCAACAGGCTGACTCTGTAAACTGCTTAGAGAGGGCTGTGAAGCAGTATGAAGCGGTATATAAGTCTCAAGGTCTATTGCTATGAACAATGGCGTGAGAAAGGCTGGGCTAGGTTGTGGCTATTGGGGATGATTTGAGGTTTGTTGAGAGGGGTTGTAGTGTGGGAGGCAGCCTGTCTAAACATGCCCAGTGTGCTGCCCACAGGTGTGGAACGTCAGACCCCCTCCCCCCCGAAGGACTTTTGCACCCATGTTTTGCATCAATGTCTTCTGAAGGAGGAACCGGTGGAAACAAAAGAAACCGTGGGGATCTGCTTCACGAATCCTGGGATTGACAGGCCAGGACCACAGGAAGGAGGGAGAAACATTGGAGCAAAATGGTAAGAAGGAAATATCGGGTGCCTTCCTCATTCCTCGTCACAATGGCTGCTCTTGATTACATCCGTGGCGGATCTTCCTCCTGCTTTGGAAGACAAGGGAGATTTTCCTAGAGAGGGCTGCTTTCAGAAGCCCAAATCTCCTGGCTATGTGCCTGGCTTGGCCTTCCCAAGTCAAAAGGGAGCTTGTAAGCAGTCCAGATTTGGTGTGTGTGTGTGTGTGTGTGTGTGTGTGTGTGTGTGTGTGAGTGAGTGAGTGTGGGAGTTCGCAACCTGGCATTGTCATTCTTATCAAACTTGGGTAACAATTTTGGGCACTTCACACACACAAAAACGGTACACCTTTTGGACTGCACATCGCCTGCCTTTGGAATTGCACGCAGTCCTCAATGGCCACAACTGAGCCCAGTGTTTTTGTTGCTAAGTGAGGCAGTTGTTCACTGAATTGTTGATAAGCGAATCTGGCTTCCCCTATTGGACTTTGCTTGTCAGGAGACATCTGGGAAGGTTGCAAGTGGGGATAACCTGACCTGCGGTGTTGCAACGGTTGTAAATACATACTGGTGGCCAAGCACCTGACTTTTGATCATGCGCCACGGTTGTGAGTGTGAAAACAGGTCATAAGTCGTTTTTTCCAGCGCAGTTGCCACTTCAAATGGTCCTGGATTACGTGCAGAATGTAAAAGGCTGGACGCAGACATGGTTGGTGAAGTGGATGAAAAGAGACAGGTGTCAAAGGCAAGATTCAAGAATTCCTCCATTATGGAAGCATTCCTCCTTCTTCAGAAAAACTCTAGAGCATTGGGGGGGGGGGTCCAACCTTGGCAACTTTCAGACCTGCGGACTTCAACTCCCAGAATTTCCCAGGAATCATGCATGGCTAGCTGGGGAATTCTGGGAGATGAAGTCCACATGACTTAAAAGTTGCCAAGGTTGGACACTTCTTCCTTCTTCATAAATAAAACCTAGGACAAATTCATTAGACTTGTGGGATTGTAAGAACCAATACCTGGACATGAAGGGCTCTAAGCCCTGGCCAACTCTACCCCAGGAGGGTTCCCATTCCCATTGATTTTCCCATTCCCTTCTTCCTGGAAAGAGATCGAATCGGGGACATCCTTGGGTGATGTTAAAACGGCAAGCATAACTTTAAAAAGCACCCCTGGGACAACCGTGACCTGGATGATGGAGAATCTCCGTAGGCATCTTCCTGCCCTTCTTATATTCATTCTCTTGCCGGTAAATTCTGTTCTCTGAGTTTTGTAATGCTTGTTCCATCTCTGTTGTCTTCTCAAGAAAGTCCAGTTGCCACTCGAAAAATGCACCTTTCGGACAAAACTGCTCGCCAAGGCGACCTCCAGATCACTCCGCGTATTCTCTGGAATTGTTTTTGCCGTCACTCTGCTTCTTCTCTGACTCTAATAGGAACCCCGCGCATTGCTCGAGAATGGCAACTTCCTCTCCTCTTATCCTGTGTTCCGGTTGTGAACTTTGGAAAAGCTGCCGCCTTCGTGGGCCTGAAGCCACTTAGTCTTATTTTGTGCAGCTCCGGGCATTTCGCTTTCACAATGGCTGCCTTTTGAGGTGAAATGATTCATTGGCATTTTTTCCCCTCTGCGAGTCAGTAACCAAGCACTTAGGACACGGCCGCGTGATTTATCATCAGCACAAAGCACATAAAGTCGCTGTGCAGAGAAGGGAGCAGGAGGGGATTGCAACCACATAGATGAAACAAAGAGAGGCCGGAGGAAACCGTGGTGGCCATGCAGATCTGGAAGTGTTGGGGGAAACTGAATATATACTCAAACCTTCCTTCACCCGTTCACACTCCTTTCCTGAACCGCACAGCAATCAACACTTTTGTAATACATTAAAAAGCTACTGATTGCTGTCTTTTTATAGCACCCAATTGCACAGTGATCTTGCTAAACCCAGCCTGGCGTTCAGACAACATCAACAGCAAAGTTGCTGTTCAGTGTGCTACAAACAGACGGTGAGGCTGCCCAATTTGCATTTTAAAACCGGATCTCCGTGTCTCGCTTTGGAGACTGGGATTATCTGGCATTTGTTCATTTTCACAGGAGAGATGGCTTTCACACTCACATGAACCTAGAAAGCTAGGGATGTCTAAGGAGCTAGCCCAGGAGTCTTCAAACTTGGCCCTTTGATGACTTGTGGACTTCAACTCCCAGAATTCCTCAGCCAACAAAAGGGTACATTTGTTGTACGGGTGTCAATATACATATATGTACACAATGTATGCATGGGTCTCTTCCCTATAGCACAGTAGAACTTACTCTGACATTAAGAAACCATGGAGAAGAGTAAGTTAAACACTGATAAATGAGATTGGAGACCTGTCTCTCATGAGATGAAGACAATCGTTTTTTGAAAAGTGGGAAAGGCCGTTTGTTGGTTTACAAAGCGCCAGCCATTCCTGATATTAGCGTGGTTATGTGACAGGGTAAACTGTCAACACTGGTTTGCCTTTTCACCTAGATTTTCTCTTTTGCTCATATCTTGACAATGGAATGCAAAGGTGGGAGGGGTGATGTCTAGGCAACTGAAAGCCAAGGTCACTGGAAGGAGAAGTAGACTGTTTCCATAACAAGAAGAAGAAATATTACTATTGGACAGTGTGAACACCCAATCTGTTTAACTAAGCAAGCCTTTGAGTGAGAAAACCAGAGCTGGTTTTGCTTTCTTCTGTGCCAATGTAAATTTTCAGTAAAGTATTATGCTCTTGGTAAAATCATGTCCCTCCCAGGAGTTTCTTTTTCTGGAAACGCCAACTGGAGAGTTGACATTAAACCAGCTCTGGTTTTACAGCCCAGAGGCTTGCTTAGTTAAATGATAGATTCCCTCACCAGCACCCACCGGGTGTTCACACCGTCCAATAGCTGTAGTCGGAGGCTGGAATCAACACCCAGTAATTCAGGCAAAGGTAAAATGCCTGGGGTCTTTGCATCATGTGGTCAAAAAAACCGAGATTGCAGCCACAATAGAGCTACCACAGATATAAAACACATGGAGCTTCAATCGCAACACCGCAACCACCATCATGACTTTTTTGACCACACCCCAAGGAACACCCCCCCCCCCAGAAGGATGACCTAAAGCCAAACTCTCCAGCTCAGTGCATTTGGGTCCCTCAGCTGGAGATGACAAATAGAGGATTTGGGAGATATAAGATTTACTGAGTCTCTGGCATGACTTGCAAAGGGACCAGGTGGCAGAATTCATCCTTTTGTGTCCCACACAAACACGCACAGAAACAGAGCCCAGGAAGGAAAGGGTTGAGGCCGCACTAACTGCTCTGATTGTAGGTAGAAGAGCATTGAGGGGGAAGGTGGGCTTAATGTTTCTCTCTCTCCGCCATTTTGGCCTGCCCTCCTTCCTTCTATGTCAGTGTTTCTCAACCTTGACAATTTTAAGGCCTGTGGACTTCAACTCCCATTGCTGGCTGTGGAATTCTGGGAGTTGAAGTCCACATGCCTTAAAATTGTCAAGGTTGAGAAACACTGGTCTATGCCATAAACAGAAATATCTTTGGGTTGGGTGATTGGGAAATGACTTCTCTTGGGCATTGAGATAGCCTTTGGGGATGAAAAGATGAGATAGACATGAGATAGAGATGGAGATGGAGAGAGAGAGAGAGATTTGTCCATGGAACTCTTTCTGGATTGAGATGCAAGAAGAAGCTCAGGATTCAGAAGATCAATAGAGATATGGAGGGTGAAGTTATGGAGATAGGGCTATCATACTTCCCAGGGGGTCCCTTAGAGCAGAGGACCCCAACCTTTTGAGCACCAGGGACTGGTTCCATGGAGAGAGGTTTGTCCATGGACCGGAGGGTGCGTGATTTTGTGTGCTGCCTGCATCCCACAGATGGGGCTTTGCTTGTTTGTGCAGCCCGGTTGCCGCAGCCCGAGACCAGTCCACAGATTGGGGGTTGGGGACCCCTGCCTTAGAGTTCCGATTGTGGAATATATGAGTTTTACCCCAAGTCCTAGGAAGAACTCTGGGTCTGGCCAGAAAAACAGAGGAGACACTTAGAAAGGAAGGCATTCTTTGGTCTATATGGGAATGTACATTCTGAATGCACAAAACAAAAGCCCCCTTCCCTCTCTTTTTTAAATTTTGTTTATTTTATATATAAACTACAAAGAAAAACAGAAAGAGATTAGGGGAAGAAAAAAGAGAGGGGGGAAAGAAAATGTGAGGTACAAGGGGGGGAAACGGGGGAGGGAGGCATTGACTCTTTTCAGCACAGTACAAGATAAAAACACTCCAGCCTCAACTTTTTGCTTTTCACATTAATATATGTAACTTGCCATTTCTATAACGACAAGTCTATCTAACTGACAAAACCAAAGTCAAAATTTCATTTTTTTTTCATCACAGGCACAAATTCCAGAAGTGATATCCAAATAAGAAACATACTTAAATATAATCTCCTCTTTGAATAAAACGATCGATTTAACCATACCTGCTTCATCTTCCTTGCTATGGAAAGAGTGTATATTTCTATTTGCACCTAGTATTTTTTATGAACTATCACCATTTCTGTTCACTATATTCTTTCAAATTCTTTGACATTACGGGGAAAAAATACCTAAACTTTTCTTGAAACACATTTCTAAAATCAAAACTGTCTAATACACTTTTTTCTTTAACTTCTTAACGTACAGGCTTTAAGCTTCAGTATTAAATTTAGATCTCTCCCTCCAAACTAGCCTTGTAAAATATATATATTTTTTCTAAACAAAAGCCTGTCTCAAGAGTGGCATAGATACGGCTTGGAGTCTCCACGTGTCTCTCTCTTTCGTGATGCACTCTGGGTGAGGTCAAAAACTTGCAGGGGACCCATTGCACTCCTTGAAACTCCTTGATCACATCTCAGCAACCACACAGTTGGTGCCCGTACACTGTGCTGTGGGTTAGTCCTGGGCCATCCATTGGACGGATCTCTGCCCCCACCCACCAAACATCATCTACCCATGGGGAATGTACCACTTGGATGTGGGGTGGGGCAGAGTTGGGAATTGTGAGCCTCTCCCTCCACTTTTTCCTGTTTGGAAAGATGAACGTGGCTTTTGCCTTGCCTGACCTACCCCCCCCCCCCACTTCATGGCTCTTCCTACCCACCCATGCTTTAAGAAATGCCTCGTTGAACGCATGGGGCTTGCTTCTGAGTAAGTACACCCCAAATTGCACCACATCTCCACTGAGAGGGTAAATGTACAGTGGACTGATCTGCATTGGGTTGGGGGAGAGGAAAATATATTTGAAGTTTGCCCTCTTCCTCGCTCCAGTTGCTGTGTAATGGGAACAGCAGCCTCTCCTCTCCATGGGAGCCAGCGTTGTCCAAAGACGCTTCCTTAGTCCCTGTGGTCAGCATGACTATATCCCGAAGGAGCACGGAACACTGTGGGCTCCCCACCACAGTGGTACCTATTTATCTACTCGCATTTGCAGGCTTTCGGACTGCTAGGTGGGCGGGAATCTATTCCCACCTTTATTATTTATATAAATAACACACTTGATGCTCCCCTCCTTCTCCTGTTTTCTCCACAACAACAACAACAACAACACTGTAAGGTGGGTTTGGGACTGAGAAAGAGGATTGGCTCAACTACCCAGCCGGTTTTCATGCCTCAAGTGAAACTAGAACTCTCAGTCTCCTGGTGATTTGGCCAAACTGGCTTTCGTTACCTTGCAGGTAAGGCTGCTTCTGACGTGCTAATTAGAAACAGACTTGCATTTTGTTTTCCTTTGTACAGCATGTCAGTGAGTGACATTGGGAAAGCGGATAAATGATAGGCAAAATGATTTTCTGGCAATCTGAGATGCTGGGAGTATAGCTTGATTAAAGTTGTTGAGACCAGGTGAAGCATTAGTAGCGCTTTATAAAACCTTAGTAAGGCCACACCTTACTGGCCGATGGGCTGCTGGCGAAGCTGTTTACCCAGGGCCAACTTGTGAGGAGGAAAAGGAAGATTTTGCCCAATGAGAAAAAAAGTTCTTGTACTTTTTCCTCTTCTAACCCAACAGGTATGGTGGGACAAATAAACATGTGAATGAAAACGTCTTACAATTGACACAAAAGGATTTATTTATTCATTTATATATTAGAATGGAATGGAATGTAGAATAGAATAGAATAGAATAGAATAGAATAGAATAGAATAGAATAGAATAGAATCAATTGGAAGGGACCTTGGAGATCATCTAGTCCAACCCCCCACCACCACCTAGTCCAATTTAAGATAGATTTCTGAACATGTTTGTGTGGGTTACTCTCTTTTTTTCCTTTTTGTTTCCCCTGCATTTGCTGGCAAAATAAAACGGATGGCATGCATTGGGTAAAAAGAGGGCAAGGCTTCCACTGTGCCCACCTTCTGGACCTCTTTGAGATCCTTCCTGCAGGTGTTCCTACTGGACAGAAGGGCCCTTGGTGAAGTCCAGTAGGGTTGTCCAAAGTCCACAAAGAATTATTAGGTCATCTCCAAGACAACCGGAGAAACAGCAGCACTCAAGATGAATAAGATAAAGGGAACCGTTCATTGGTGAATGACACTTTCCAGGTCTACTCTTTGTAACAGCAAGGGCCCTCCTAAAATGTGGTTACTTTTAAAAAGCTTTAAGAATGGCTTAGAAAATTAAGCAGTTTACCTAACTACTATTTTGCTGAGAAGAGACCAGCGGAGAATGCTTCTTCCATTTTTCTAGGGAAAGAACTGGCCTTGTCAAACAATTTCCCCTTAATGTATGCAGTAATGTGAAAGGAGCATTTTTATAAGCTGGAAAGAAAGTATTTCCATTCC